AAAAAAAAAAAAAAAAAAAACGCTGAGCACAACCTGTTGAAAGTTGAAACGATTACAAAAGCTCGAACCCTTACCAACCCCTTGTACAGACCATATGAAGCAACTACAAGACCACGACGAACACATGTGCCACAACCACACCACGCAAGAACCCTTAAACCCGAACCCTAAACCAAACCCCGCCCACCCCCAGCCCAAACAAACAAACCTTTCAAACCCTGCCACCTTTGCGGCCAAGGAGGTGCCGCTCTCAGGGGCACGTCGGGTGCTGGGTCTCTGGTGCACCTCAAAAAGCCAGGGCTTACACGGCTGGGTGAAGTGTTCCTTTCAGGGCTCCCTGAAGGGTTCTAGAAGGGTTACAGCATTGAGGGCTTAGGGTGTCGGAATAGGTTTAGGGTTAGGGTTTAGGGTTTAGGGTTTAGGGTTTAGGATACTTAGAATAAGGTTCTGGTGTATATCTTTATGTTATCGGAGTTGTGCGGGCACGCTTCTTGTCCATATTCAATATTCAGACCTCTACGGCTCTGACTCTCTGGGGTTCTTCGGATTTTAGGGAGTGGATAGGTTTCACAGTACAAGGGCTTCAGAGGGCATACACCGGGGACCTCCTATCCTAAATCCCTACGTAGGATGCAGGCTGTTGGGATTTATGCCAAGCCCAAAAGAGGCAGACATCGATCAGGGCCCTCCGTCAAAAGAGTTTAGGGTATAGGGATTAGGATTCAGGGTTTAGGCTTTAGGGTTTAGGGCGGGTCTTGAGGGGTGTGAAAGGGCTCCATAGGGGGTTACAGGGCTGCGGGGCTCTTAGCTTAGCAGGAACGGTGGAGTTCAAGATCGACAAAGCTGAAGAATTGGGACTATGCTAATCGGGACATCCCCAAACCGAAACCGTGCTGACTACACCATGACGAGTTTGATGGCTTATGGACTGAACCCAAACTCTAAATCCTAAACCCTGACCATATGTATCAACTGTAGGGCTTCATGCGGCAGAAACGAAGTCACACTGATACTGCTGTCTTCGGTCGAAGAGCAAGCGAAGCAGGTCATCACCTAACAACAAATCTTTATAAACTCTAAACAACTAAGCTCTAACACAGCTTAGGTCTGCAGCCCGAAAGCCTACACCCTCAGCGCTACCACCTACAAACCCCTCCCCAAATCTCTACCTTAAGAAACCAAAATCCAGTTTTTTGTAGGTTCTTATTATGAACCCTAATATGGAATTTATAGGGACCCTACAAAAAAGGAGGTTTTGGGTCCTTAAGGTATTCCAAGCCGTAGACCCTCAACACTCTCGAGGGCAAAGCTTGCATTCCCGCCTGGGGATTCGTGGCGACGGGGGCGGCGCCCGGGGATGCGACGAAGGCGGGAGCGAGCATGTTGGCTGAAAGCACCGATACTAGCGGAGGCATCGATTGGTTCGTGTAGAGCCAAAAAGGCTGAAAGGCTCCTGGGCTTGCGGGTTTAGGGTTTAGGGTTTAGGGTTTAGGGTTTAGGGTTTAGGGTTTAGGGCTGAAGCGTTCCTGATTCCCACCCTGGTCTCAGGACGTCCACGTGTAGCGAGTCTGCAAGCAACTGCACATTCCCAAAGGGCCCAAAGTACCTATAGAGTAGAATAGAATGTAGGGTTTCAATATTGGACTTCCTACTATGATTTGGAGAATGTCCCATGCCACGGCCAGCGCATTCAATAAGAAATCGTGTGGAAGAAGAAATGAGACCCTGGTTTTCTTTTGGATTTCTCATCCAGAGTCCTAAATCCTACCTAAACTCCCTAATTCCCAACGCTCAACCCAAAACTCCCTAAACTGCCGAACCTCCAAACACCCCCCTCAAACTGGGCTCGATCTGGTGGTTGCAAGGTTTTTTGGTTTACGGGGGTCAGAATTGGGATCTAACTTGGGGTTGTAAAGTCGTTTGGTCCTAAGCGGGTCTGACCAGTATTACACTAAACGCCAAAACCCGAAACTAGTAGCGCCCTAAACCCTAAACCAGAGCGCCCTACACCCTCAACCCTAAACCATTAGAACCCCAAGCCCTAAAACCAGTAGAGCCCTAAACCCTAAACCCAAAGCCTAAAACTCTGATAAAGAACCCCTAAACCCTAAACCCTAAACCCTAAACCCCAAACCCCAAACCCTTCACGGAAGTTTAACGGAACCCTGCGAGCCCCTCGAAAAACGACGCCCCTCCCAGGGAGGTGCCGTGGAGTTCCCCGAGCTCCTCGCCGCGGGTCCGCCGAAAGTCTCCTCCATGCTGAGAAGATCCGAAGAGCCTGGGTTCCGGGGGTTGCGGGGGTTTAGGAGTTTAAGGGTTAAGGGGTTAAGGGGTTTAGGGGTTTGGGGGTTTAGGGGTTTAGGGGTTTAGGGGTTTAGGGGTTTGGGGGTTTAGGGATTTAGGGTTTTGGGGTGTGGGGTCTCCATAAGGGCTGAGGGGTTCCTTGAAGGGCGCCTTCAAAGGTCCCTTTAGTTTGAAGGATTCCTTTCAGGGTTCCGTTCAGAGTTCTATAAAGGTTCTTTATAGGAGTTTTGGGTTTTGGCCTAAACCCTAAACCCTATACCCGGGTTCTTAAGGGGTTCTTGAGTGTTGGGGCGCAGGGCTTAGACAGAAGATTCCTGGAGCCTTGAAAGGGTTTAGGGTTTAGGGCTTAATGCTTATGGTTTAGGGTTTAGGGTTTAGGGTTGAGTTACGAGTAGGGGCGACCACACCACCAATATTACTAAACTTAATTGTACTTTTCATAGCGATCATTCGGGTAATGATAACAAAAAAGACTGCAGGTGTGATAGCAAGAATACGTAATCGTAGTACTAAGGTTCAGAAGACTTTGGACTGGGTCTTGAGGACTTGGAATGGGGTCAAAGAGGTTCTAAACGGTCTGACTTTGAATGGGCTTAGGATCTTGAGGGATGACATTTCAGGTGCCCTGCCTGGGGAATCAGATCGTCCGAGGCGAGAAGCCTTGTATAAGGTCATACAGTAGCAAGGGCTACTGGCCTGCCATATCGGACAAGGGTCGGTACACTCTTTACTTTTAGGGTTTAGGGTTTAGGGTTTAGGGTTTAGAGTTTTAGGGTTTAGGGTTTAGGGTTTAGAGTTTAGAGTTTTAGGGTTTAGGGTTTAGGGGGAATCTGAGAGCATGTGCTGTAGCCTTAAACTCTACTAGGGTGGCGTCTTCGGAAATCCTACACACTAAGCCTCTTAACCCCAAAACCCTTAAACCCAAAACCCTAAACCCCTGAACGCCTAACCCCTAA